CCCTGAGGATTGCCACTATCAGGCGCACAAGTGACCATCCACAGACATGGGGTTCACCTATCACCCGTCATCTACTGATGTATTGTGATGTGTCCCCACAAACCATTTAGCTGGCCTGTGGACCCTGCCACTTGAGCAGGTGAAGTCCTGTCAGCTGCCTGCTAAAGCGAGCCATGGCCTGGAACTTCATCCTGCTTGTCTTTTAGCCTCCAGGATGATATGGTCCTGTGGTTTACTGGAAGTAGTGTGCCCACAGGGAGGGAAAGTGGCCTATGTGTTTCCCTTGGGCCTTCCTCCACCCTTCCTCCTGCCTCCTGGCTCTCACTCCCCACCTCAGCCACAGGAGCAAGTGCAGGTGGCCCAAGGCCAGCATCCCAGATCTCATCCTGTTGTGCAGGTGGGGGGACCAGCCACCTGGCCATCCTCTGCTGGATTAGAGGGAGTCAAATTAACACAACAGCAAGACTTGATGAGAATGGGCTCCTGGCAGAGGCTGTAGCAGAGGTGAGCCTGAGCCCACACGGAGATGCTTCTCCCAGAGCCTTAGGCCACTCACCCTTCCTTCTTAATCTCCCTCCCAATTGTCCAATTTCTTGGAGTAGCTGTCCCAGAGCCGGTTTCCATAGTGTTTTCTAAAGTGGGTTGTAGAAGCACAGTGTGGAGGGCGGGGCAAGCGCGTGCTGAGTAAGCTGCAGTCCCAGTTTGGGAGCCCCGATGACCAGGGGCAGCAGGGGGCGGGGGGGGGGGGCTGTAGAAGTGACAAGCACGCATCACCACTGAGGAGTACTACCGGCGGGAGCTTCAGTGGCACGTGGAGAAGTGGATCGATGGGCAACTGGAGGAGCTGTACCACGGCAGGAAGGCAGGTATGCTGATGAGATCAACACTAATGAGCTCCTGCAGCTGGAAAAGGAAGAGGAGCGAAGCCAGAAGATCCAGGGCCTCCTGTTGTCATTAAAACCCCACAGAGGACTTCTCCAGGAGCTACTGGCCAAGCTGCCGGACCTCCACAAGCAGCCAGGCCTCCGCCAGCCCAGCCCCTCTGACAGTGGCAGCCTGAGCCCCCCACAGGGCTGCTGTGGCCTGTGACCCTGGGCTCTCCCCAGCCCCTGGCCTATGTATGTGTTGTATTTAATGGTCTATAACAGTGGAAAAATAAGTAAATAAAGTGGGTTCTAGCTGGCTGTAGATAATAATGTCTCACTTTTTGGACTGGTTGGGTTATAATTTTAAATGTCACCCTGAAAAGGTTTTGGACCCAGATGACATAAAACTTAGTATACATACCTCTGGTTTTATTTGAGGTATATTCTAGCTTTATCAGTGTACTGTTTATGTGCCTAAGATTCATGCTTAGACATGCAGAAAAGATCATCCACACACATGACCACTGTGTGTCTTGTAGAACCACTACTTCCAGGTCATTAGGAATTCACAGCGACTCAGTTCAAGTGGCCCTGACAGTGACTCTGTCGCCTTGTGTAATTGATGGAACTTAATAACTGGAATCACTGACTTCTGAATGAAGAACTTTCTAGAATTCCAGCATCACATTCCACTCCTTTCCTGAAGGCTCACAATCCCTGTCCCCATCCCTGCCTTTCTGTGCCTCAGAATCCCCTTGAACACTAAATGTTCAGAGGCAGGTGCTCTTTGCTAAGCACGCTGTGTGTGAATTCACTTTACAGCCACCTTCTGACTCTCCAGGGTCACATGGCTAGGGATGGGACAGCCAGGGGCCATGCCAAGGACTTACAAGAAGACAGCTTATCAGCCAGAGTTGGTTTGCTGATTGCAGACTGTCGGTCAGCTTCAGTATGTGGGCTCGGTGGTATTGCTTTTGTGGTTTTTAGATTCCTCTGTCTGTAGGTCAGTATCAAGAGGAAGTGAAGTGGCTGTTATGTGAGGTGCCCCTGTGGGTCTGAGAGTTGATCCTTTGACCTGACTTGCCTTCTAATTTGGTTATTTCAAAGAGCCTCAGAAGGCAAGTCATAAAATTTGACACCACCTAAAATGCTTTCAACGAACAGTGACAACATTGAATAGCATTTCTGTCACACGATTACTTGGCAACTATGCTGCAGTGAATGTGCCATCAACCTTGGAATTAAGCTGCCCATCTTGCGAGCTCAGAGGCCTGGGGGTGCGGAGGCCCAGGCCCGCAGAGTTGCTATCTGAGGGTTCAGCAACTGCCCTTTCAGAGAGGCAATGAGAGAGGCTGACTGGCCTCTTGTCTCAAAACCCTGGGAGGTGCCACTCCACGCTGCTGAGAGTTCAAAGACAGAGGTGCCCATTCCCTAGAAAAGTTCAGTGGCAGATGAGATGTGGTAGTGGTCTTTGAGAACTTACTGTTTCTCAGACAGTTATACCAAGCATTATACCTATTTTCATTATTACCTCATAGCTGAATAAGGAATAAGCTACTATCATCATTACTTCACAAGTGAGGAAAATAAAGCCCAGAAAGTTCAAGTTGCCTGTGACGAAGTGTCCAGACTTGCTTGAAGTGTCTGTGTTGTGCTCACACCTACCACAGACTCTAGCCCACAGGTGCAGAGTGCACATACGTGGGTCCCTGGACCAAATGAGCTCCACCTAGGGTGCCATCCCCAGAGTGGGCAGAGGTAGCCTGTGGTGATGTCAACATCTGGGCCGACAGTGTCATGACTACGGGTTCTTAGGGCCCCACTTTGGTTGGTGTCTTGGTCCATGGTGACTGGTAACAGTTGGCCACAGACAGGCCTTCTACAGACAAGCATTCTTTCTCAGTTCCGGAGGCTGGGAGTCCAAGAGCAAGGGGCCAGCCACGCAGACTTGGTGTCTGGTAGAGGGAAGCTTTCTGCTTCATGGACAGCTATCTTGTTTCCTGTCCTCACGTGGTGGACAGGATAAGGAGCTTTCTCAGGCCTCTTTTGTAAGGGCACTAATCTCATTCCTGAAACCTCCACTCTCCTGACCAAGTCACCTTCCAGTGCCCCACCCCTAATCCCTCACCTTGGAGGTTAGA